TCGTGCATTGTTCATAATTAACCAAATTGTGTGGGGGGCGGATTATTTTATTAGGAACTCAATAATCGACTCTTCCTTGAAGACATGCGACGGCTTTACTGCACTTAAAATAATAAAAATGACTTATCGGAAATTTAATTAACTAAAAAAGTCGTTAATCTATCTAAAACAGACGCATCAAGGCCGAAATTTGTAGCCACAGGCTGACGAAAGTGGCGTATGTATGTGGTTAATTCTCAAGAAGCATCTTTACGAAAATGAGCACTAACCTGGGTTCTGGTAGTGGATGCGCAGGTTTGGACCGCCCAACAGCCCTGCGACACCCTCAGCGTCGCCAGCACCACGAGCACGATTTCGGGCAGCCGCTAGACGCACTTGAAAGAACTCCTCCATTGCGGGACTGGAGTAGTAATTCCCCTGTTGGTACGCGGTTTCCGCAGTGTTCGCAGAATTCGGATAGACCGTTGCCACTGTAAAAGGTGGGTTGCATGCGCGAACATTGAAGTGGACGTGAAAACGGGGGTTAGTTAGGGCGGTTGGGAGAAAGCTACAGTCTCGTCTAAATACATTTGTTTTCGAGTCAGCCGACCAGATTTCCATTAGGTGAACCTAGCAGATGTACTAAGACGCCTGTAACTATGGAATCCCAGCATTTGCACAAAGCAGGATTAATTTTCTCTTTAAGGCTAGTTTAATCCAATGGGAAAGCAGGCTTAAGAACCAGCCAATCAACAGCTGACCCACCGACCTTCGAGACAACCCCCTGAGAGGTCATTTACATCAGCTCGTCAAAATACGGACTATGGAGATAGGCAACCTAAGTAGAACTTCCCTCGGCACTAGCCTTTGAATAGATTCGCTTCTCCGCTGGTGGGTTGAACGCGACCACGTCTACGAAGAGACCGTTCTTTTCATGGGTTTGGGGAAAGATATAGAAAATTTCTTTAAAACTATAATAGTGTGCGTGTCACGACAGATCCAGCCAATCTTACACATTCTTTACGCATAAAAAAATCCACCAGAGGGAATTGGACTGATGTTCGTCCGTTTCGGTTTATGAGGCAGTTCCTTAAAGGAGTTTTTTTAATAAAGGCCGAATCCTTCATAGTCTGCTTTTCGGACATCTCGAAAATTTACGCGACATTAGAACGTGCTGACCACATACATGTAAGAAGTATCCTTTAGCACGTTTGGGTAAAGCAAAAGCTAATCTATGAAGTTGACATTTGGAGGCCATGTTTGAGCTAAGGGTTTATGTATTGGCAAGGAAGAATAATACTAGTCGAGCACCAGAAACATTTGTCTGTTAGTCGGAACATTCGAGGTTGTGCTGGAGTCAGAAATGACAACAGCAATAGAGCAAGCAACAGATATACCAGGTTTAAGCCAATCAGCGGTCAACAACGCAGGTATCCATGTGACTGAGCAAGGTTATGTTTTTCGGCGCCAGATCAATACATCGATTGGCAGTTGCTCGTTCCATTGCTAGTGTCACCTCTGACGCCGAACTCCGACATGAGTTCGAAGGCTCAGTTCACTTTGTACTCCGTTGTGAAGCTTCGGAAATAGCCTAGCAGTGCATAGTACACGCTGAAGAGGTTTGCGGAAGAAAATGAGTTTTCAACCCCAAAATCACAAACCTGGTTTGTTGGAATGTTCCAATTTTGCAACCACGGAGTTCATCTGGGCCTGACAGATGGAATCGCCACCAGCTCTGCAGCCGAATGCGCAAGCACGGTTGTGAACTAAAAAGGCAAAAAAACGGTTGGCGATGCATTGCTCGATTTGCTCACGGGTGCAACACGATTTAAAGAGTCAACCGACCCTTTTTCTTCCATGCATGCTTCGTGTAAATAAGTTCGAAGCAAAACACCAAAAGTTGCCCGACTAATTTTAAGATCTGATACAAAGGATTATCGCTAATTGTTGAGGTCAGACGAGGTATTATAGAATTGAGGATTGATTTCAAGGACATTAGAGGGCACAGTTACCATGTTCATTTCAACCGGGACACCAAGCAATCTATAGGATGTGAATGTGGAGCCTAAATTACAAATTTCGCATTAGATCGAATGAACTTGCAATATAAGCAGAAGTTGAGGCACTCCAATGATTGTCGCTCTTTTAAAAACGGCTTCACATATCAACTTCCATTGGATAGTTAGGCGAGTTGGACTGTTCTGATTATGTAAAGCAAATTTAAAAATATTAGACGCAGATTGGTTTACGCCCCTTGATGCTCAATCTGGAGTCGTATCCCCTCTTCTTTGTTGGTACTGTTATCCGGCCTATAATACTAGTCGCTGAGCGACTGTTGGCGGAGATCGAGATTTAAACCTAAAGCAGAATGGAACGAGGATGTCCCGTAACGGGACCAGCGAGCGCCTCCCTTCCATTGTTTATTTAGCTGATGGAAGTCGACCTCGCGACTCAATGCTTAGAACATTGGACTTCTAACCAACAGTTTACGGCTCGGGGCCTCAGGGGTTGCACAATCTAGGGTTTTGGTTTGGCTGGCTGATGATGACTAATAAGTCAGAAATGGCCATTTCTTTCCCCCTCGCCTCTGTCGGTAAGGTTATTCTGCGTTCGCGTCTGCCTATTCTCATAGTTGTCAAATTGATCTATTGAAGTGGTTTCCTGGTGAGGTTATTACCACTTCACGAGAATCATTTGAAGTCAAAATTCCTGAATTCCATAAGGACGCCAGCTTTAACTTTTGATTACATCACCGTATTGCCAGAAAGAGCAGTAGTTTAAATGTGAGACAGGTGCTTCGCTGATTTTGTGTCCCTGCAGGACTCAGTTGACAGGAGGTTGGCCCTGTCAATGGGCACTTTCCCAGTGCTCCCAGAGATCTCTCTGTAATATATATTCCAGTTTACAAGTAATATGCAAATTTGGAGCATATCTTTCGAGAAAAGGCTTTTCCGACGCATTTCCAAAGTCGCTATTAATATTTGAGTTGAAATGCATCAGTTTCAGTGAAATGGCTATGCGATATTTACACACTGCTAATAGGCAGTCAGAAATATACAAACGTTGAAGGATTTAATATAAACCCAGTCCAAACACGTGTTTTGCCGGAAGGACCGGAATTTTGAGCTCGATTTCCATTCGTACTTCCGTCGGATGCTTTTCCATCTTGATCGATGCTTTCTCATGTGACTATATTCAAAGTAAAGTACGTGAGGATACCCTAAAAACGAACATTATTTTCCGTAAGTAAATGTGATGGCAGTGCTGCCCTCGCCCGGTAGGTAAGTTTACCAGACGCTCTTCCTACGCAGTTGACCAAACAGGGTTCATGAGAAACCATTGCAGCGGACAGAGTGACTGTTTTATTAAACTCAATCACAACGCTCTCGACGATTTTATGATTAAAAACTTTAAGGAGCAATAAGTCAATGATGGTTTTTTATTCGACCTCAAAGGAGTCTTACGTTTAATTTGTTCTTCTTGGCAGGATAGTGAACCCAGAATTAATAGTTGCAAGTACTGAGGCAATTAGGCGAAGCACTGAGAAAAAATGACCTCGGGGACTGGTTGCTTCGTTATGACAACGCGTCTGCCAACACAGCGTTCAAAATCAACTTTTTTGGTGAAAAACCGCATGATAAGGGATTCTAACTCATCTTACTCGCCTTAACTAACACCTATAACTCCCTCATATTCCTAAGAATAACTAAATACCTAAAGGAAAGCCTTTTCAGATTATAGATGTTAAAAGGAAATTAGTAGAGTCGGTTACCCGCATTGGTTCAGAAGAATATAATAAATGTTTTGAAAAGTTAGAACGAGTGCATGTCATCCAATGTTTTTAATATTTTACGTTAGAGGTTAAAAAATTGAATCAATAATCCTCGTTTTGAAGGGAACCCTCTCATAATCTAAAGCTCCATTTAAATCCTCGGTCTCTTCTATCTAGGTCTGAGGCACGACTGACTAGTATCAGCAGATAAAGCAAGAACAACCATTCTAGATTCTCTTGTTTTCTTAGTCGGCAGTTACTGTGCAACGGTCTGCAAAGATCATAGACCAGAGTGCATTGCAAGACGGAAGGCTTGTTCCTCATTATTCCATTAAACTAGATTTTTACACATCACGACCACGTTATTTACATTTACGTTTTCTACCTGCAAATCTTGTTGGTTTAAATACTGTGTAATTAAGTTTTGCGTTCCCAAACTGGACGCGTGATAGATGCGCTGGGCCAATACAGGGGCCAGATCAGACGGCAGGCGTTATTCGCTTTGCGCTCCGATAACAAATACCGAACATAAGTGGGAGGTGGCTGCACACATAAGGGGTGGCTACGGCCGCGCTAGCCACCTGCGTCCGATCACACCTCCGGTCTTCTTGACTGTGTTCTGACACCGTGCTCAGGTGGGTGGGTGAGGGAGGAGAGAGTGTGGGGAATGCTGCCCAAGTCTATTTGTCACTTAAAACTAATTCACGCGCAAGTCCTAGTACCTGCACATTGTCGAACTCGATGGTCTCACTGTTTTAATGAACGTCTGGGTTCAGTTCTTCCGAGCATTAAGCCCTACTCCCCGCAAGAGTCAGCCCTGTTTACCAGGATATCCTCATCTTGTTTTGGAGAATTCCGTGCCTATATAGAAAGGCAGATATCTCCGTACTGGCAGTTTGCAGTGTAAGATAGAGAACAAAAGCAGACTGTACAAGTTGTGAAGCATTGTCGCCTGCTATGGGAGCTTTTGGTTAGCGTCCGCACCACGACTCGTCGTTTTCTAATGAGCAAGTTGTCAAGGCACGTCGCCATGGTCACGAACGCACAGACGCACAAGCCGGCACCTACAAAATGGCAGCTCCATCCTCTGGTTGCTGGTTTTTAGACGATGGGGAATGCGCACCTTGCGCATGCCTTTAATTGTGCCCACGAGTGTGAAAGCTGTCAGTGAACGCAATAAATAATAGTGGGCAACTTCTCAGCGGTTTTTCTAATAATAAGCTTTCGGCCATAGGAATATTGAAGTCCTAAAGCCTCTTATGCTCTCAAAAAGACCAAAGCAAATAGTGCTCTCTGTTGGCTCACTATGTTAAAAGAAATATTCCAAATAGAAAGGTTTTGATGGGTAATGCACATTTCTTGCTGCGTCAGATGCAAAATTCGCAGCCCTAACTTACGTTCACATACCCATCACTAGAATCTGAGTCATAGCATACGTTTGGTCATGTGGAGATATTAGGCACGCCCATAGTTACGACGCGCTCGGGTGAATGTA